AGGGAAGGAAGGAAGGAAGGAAGGAAAGGAAAGAAAGAGAAAGAGAAAGAGAAAGAGAAAGAGAAAGAGAAAGAGAAAGAGAAAGAGAAAGAGAAAGAGAAAGAGAAAGAGAGGGAGGGAGGGAGAGAGAAAGGAAGAAAGGAAGAAAGACTATTGTTTAAATTTGTATTCTGCTAGTGATTATCTTTTGAGGCAGAGATCCCAACTTCTCTATTTCTCCCTTTCTTCTTTAGTATGAGAACTCCTATTTTTAGCTAAGCCCACCCTGTGTGCCCTTACAGCTCAATGTGGCTAAGCTCTACTCAATGAGGTGTAAATGTTAGTGCTATGTGAGACCTTTAAGAATTGTCTGAAAGGGAAAGGGCACACCCTTCTTCCCCTCCATCTCCTTCAGGCTTTTGGAATGCAGATATGATGGCTGGAGCTCAAGCAGCCATCCTTTCTTTTTTTTTTTTTTTAGTGTTTTATTTATTTCTGAGAGAGAGAGAGAGAGCTCGCACAGGGGAGGGTCAGAGAGAGAGGGAGATACAGAATCTGAAATCGTCTCCAGGCTCTGAGCTAGCTGTCAGCACAGAGCCTGACGCAGGGCTCGAACCCGCAGACTCTGAGATCATGACCTGAGCCAAAGTCGGATGCTTAACCGACTGAGCCACCCAGGCGCCCCTCAAGCAGCCATCCTGAATGAGGAGGCAATCTGCTATAGATGGAAGAGTGGCAAGACGTAAGGACCCTGGGTCTGAGATGACATTGATTCCGCCACACCAAACGTACACTGCCTACCTCTTTACTTTTTCATGAGATGAAAACATAAAAACCCTTAATGTTTAAGCCATTTCATGTAGAGCTTATCTAATGTATGCAACCAAATCTGGCCCTAATACACCTTCTGATGCCCCAAAGTCAAAACTGAACTTTTGTTTCTCCTTCCTTTTGTTTTTGTTTTTGTTTTTTTAAGTACTTTGAGAGTCTTGATGATTTCTTTTTTTTATTTTTTTAATGTTTTATTTATTTTTGAGAGAGAGAGAGAGAGAGACAGTGCCAGCGGGGGAGGGTCAGAGAGAGAGGGAGACACAGAATCTGAAGAGAGGTCCCAGGCTCTGAGCTAGCTGTCAGCACAGAGCCCGATGCTCGAACCCACGAACCGTGAAATCATGACCTGAACCAAAGTCAGACGCTTAGCCGACTGAGCCACCCAGGCATCCGCGTCTCCTTCCTTAAGACAAATAAATAACAATGCTTCTATGTTTTATTTCCTGTATTTAAGTGTCCTAAACATGGAACCTTATTTCCTCACTCTCTCATCCCTTCTCCCAACCTTAGGTTTTGCAAAGGTGGTTTAGAATTTTTATTTTCAGCCTATTATGTTTTCCCACACAGCAGTTCTCCTCTATCTTAAAATTGTTAATAACGTAACACAATACACACTCTGACGCACAGCAGCAACAGGCACGGAGATAAACCACAGGCGCTGACAGGTGCCCTGCTCTGCGCTGCTCCCTGCACTCTTCCCCGAGCTCATCATCTCTGCCCTGCTTTCACTGTCCTTCCCCCGGAGAGCCTTACATGGCATTTTCTCAGCTACACTTCGCAGATGCTGTATGTTTTTTGTCCGCACATGTCTGAATCGCCTTTCTTTTGCAACCAGCCGTGAGTGGCCTCGTGGCTGGGTACACAAAGGACTGCAGCCGCTCCCCCTTGAACAGGCCGCAGACAAAAGTCCACTGCCTCCCAGCCTCCAGGACTGTATATGGGAAGTCTAATGACAGTCTAATTCTCTGTCCTTTGAAAATTTCTTTCTTGGGACGCCTGGGTGGCTCAGTCAGTTAGGCATCCGACTTTAGCTCAGGTCATGATCTCACGGTTTGTGGGTTCGAGCCCCGTGTCGGGCTCTGTGCTGAAACCTAGCTCAGGGCCTGGAGCCTCTTTCAGATTCTGTGTCTCCCTCTCTCTCTTACACCCCTACCCCCACCCCACCCCCGCTCATGCTGTCTCTCTCTCAAAAAAAAAAAAAAAAAAAAAAAAAACCTCTTTTCTTCTTTCAAAAGACCTTTCTCTTTCTTCTTGGGAGTTTAAGAATTTTACTAGAAAATAGGTTAAGTGTTAGCCTTGGTGTGAACTGGATGAATCCACTGAATCTGAAGAATCACATCTTTCTTCAGTTCATGGATATTTCCTTCTACTGCTTTTCTATTACTCCTCCATCTATTCCTTCTTCTCCTTCTGGACCTTCTCTCACCCCCATGCCAGGTATCCTGGATAAGGCCTCTAAGCATCTCACATTTTAATTCATGATTTCCATTTCTTTTTATTATTGTTCTGGGTTGTGGGGCCTTTCTTCTGTGTGACCTTCCAAACCACTAATTTCAACTCTTCTGTTGATCTTTGAATTCAAAAGACATGTTTTTTAGTTCCAGAAAGCCTCTGGTGCACTTCAGTCTCACCCCTTTGGGAGCTCCTTCCTTGTGAATTAAAGCTCTTAAGCATCCTCTCCATTCATCCTGCCTCCAAGAAGCCGCTGCACCAAGTGTGAAGCTTGGCTTCCCCCTTTCTATGGCCAAGTCTCCGAAAACGTGTTGTCATCGGCCATTGCCTGTTGAAGGATACAGGTTCTCGTATTCCCCGTTCTGGGCAGAAGCCTGAAGCCCCAGACAACCTGACAGTCTCTGTTCAAGAGGGCTCCAGTGAAATGAGCTGGTGAACCGTGATCGTCCTGCTGAGAAAGGGGGAGTAGATCCTCTGCCCTTTGGTCCCCACCCTGGTGGTGACAAGAGAGAGGAGCCCTCTCCCACCTGCAAGACTGGGAGCAATTCTGCTCAGACGCCCCGTAGACAGCAAATGGGCAGCCACCATCCCTCTCCTGGAATCCAGTTCTTTTATTAAGTCTTTTTTAAAAAAATTTTCACGTTTATTTATTTCTTAGTAATCTCTACACCCAACATGGGGCTCAAACTCACAACCCTGAGATCAAGAGTTGCATGCTCTTCCAACTGAGCCAGCCAGGCACCTCATCCCAGAATCCAGTTCTAATCAGACCCAAAAGCACAGACCATGGAGAGAGGTTTCACTTCTAGAAAAAGACTGACCTAGAGTCCAATTTCAACTCTGCCACTACCCTGCTTTGTGACCTCAGGGAAATCACTTCTCTCTGAGTCTGTTTTGTCTTGTGCTCCTACCCCTAAACCAGCAGCCGGTCTCCAGCATCCTCCTCGGGGACCCAATCCCACCAGGAAGTGGGTGTCAGGGAAAGAGCTTCTTCTAAGCACTATATGAATTACTTGTAGTTAATTGTGTAACATGAAGAAAGACTGAATCCCTGGTAGGAAAACATCAGAAACTGCACCTTCTGCCTCTTTTGTGATAATGGGTTGACAAGAGGGTAAAGCTACTAGAACAATCTGAAAAAATATTGTCATCTTTCAGCTTTTAACATTTTTGTGATTTCTCCTACCTGTACAGAATCTCATAACGTTCTTTTAGGCAAACACTCTCTGCTTCTCCTCCTTTCAATAGTTTATGTTGTCTCAAGATCCAAGAACCATGGCCATAAAGGGGATGGGTATGGAGAGCTATAAGACAGTCCAAGTTGGTTTCAGTCTGGTAATATTTACTGAGCACCTCCTGTGTATAAGGCACTGAGCAAGGCACTGCATGGGTACAATAATGAGCAAGACACAACCCCCACCTGAAAAGAGCTTAAAGTCTGGGGGCACCTGGGTGGCTCACATGGTTAAGCATCTGACTTCAGCTCAGGTCATGATCTCACAGTTCGTGAGTTCAAGCCCTGCATCGGGCTCTGTGCTGACAGCTCAGAGCCTGGAGCCTGCTTCAGATTCTGTGTCTCACTGTGTCTCTGCCCCTCCCCTACTTGCACTCTGTCTCTCTCAAAAATAAATATTTTTTTTAATTTAAGAAAAAAACTGAAAAAAAAAAAGAGCTTAAAGTCTAGGGGAGCCTGGGTGGCTCAGTCTGTTAAGCGTCCAACTTCAGCTCAGGTCATCATCTCAAGGTTTGTGGGTTGGAGCCCCGTGTCAGGCTCTCTAATGTCAGCATGGAGCCTGCTTTGGATCCTCGTCTCCCTCTGTCTCTGCCCCTCCCCTACTCCTGTGTGTGCACATGCTCACATTCTCTCTCAAAAATAAATAAATACCTCTTTAAAAAAGAGTTTAAAGTCTAGTAAAGGAGGTAAGGTAGGAGGTACAGAGTACATCAAAAAAGCATGATGCGATGCAAAATGTAGGCAGGACCCTGAGGAAGTTAAAACATGTGCCACGAGGGTTTGAAAGGAAGGAGAGCCCCAAGGAGCTGGGGAGCAGAGAAAATCCTTCTCAGAAGAGGTGCCAGACAGGGCTCGCAGAATCTCAGGGAGCAGGAACGGGGGCGGGGAAGGCAAGGGCGGGCAGGGCACTGACCACCAGAGTGCGGCCTCTTGACGACAATGACCACAATGACCACGTCTTATCTGTCCTCATATACCTTCACCCTTCCTCCCACGGCCAAGCAACTCACACAAGAGCTGGCCTTTCTGATGAAGGGTCTGAGGCAAGGGCAGCTGAACTGGAGGGAGAGAGGGGAGGGGGCTGTGGGGAAGATTCGCGGACAGCCTGAGGCTGAGAGAAAGGAAGTCATCCCAGGTGCTGGGCAGTCAGACACAGAACATCTGGCTTCTTACCCCTGGAAGCAAACGGGTAACAGCATAACAAGGGAGCAAGAAGGGGCGCTGCACCAGGAGGAGGCAGAGAAAAGAAAAGCCCTTGATCCAAGAACCAACAGAGAAAACCTCAGAGTTTCATCTGACAAGAAGGAACTTCTGCATGGATGTCTGAGGTCCCAAAAGCCACCCTGCAGCTCCTCAGCCCCGCGGAGGAGGCCCATGTGGCATGAGGCTGCCCTGACCACACCGCCACCCAGATCACCTGCACCAGCGTGCACCTTTCAATGCCTGTCCTTTACGGCCCTGCTCGAGACAGCACACCTCACTGTGTGTCCATAAGCCAACTTACCAGGAATACATGTGGGGCTTCATAATCCCAGGCCAATAGGACATACCATCCCCGCACGTCTCTTTGCAAACAGTAGCCGCTGTAAAAGTAGGAGGAATAACTCCATTTACAATGATGTTCCATATGGGAAGACTGGTTTTTCAAAGCTCAGCAAGGTCAGACCAACTACGGTTTTTCAAAGCTCAGCAAGGTCAGACCAACTACGGTGCTAGAAGATCTGATTTCAACCTGTTCTTTGAAATGTCAAATCCTTTTCCCACAGGTCAATGGCTGATATCACTATTAGCCTCCCAGGTAGTAAAGCCTGTCCAAATGCATCAAAATCAACTGAAACTTCTTAAACTTCTTTCCCATCATGCTTTGGATACATGCTGCGGTAAGTGTGTGAGGGTTTGCCTGGGGAATCACCCCCAAAGAAAAGCATGGACTCCAAGGGAAAATGCATTCCGGCAGGCCCAACGCACCAGCCATGGCCTCAGGCACTACCCAGCACGGAAGGAACTCAGGAGTACCCAGACACAAACACCCTGCCCTCCGAGCACACTGCTGTTGAAAAAAGAGTGTGCATACAAGGGAGGGAGCGGCTGGCACGTCCCGACTCAGCAGCCCGGTGGCACAGACAAGCGTCCTGCATAGAAGGCCTGCAAAGCCCCCCCCATCACTGGTCTCTGTCCTCCACAGCACCCCCTCTCTCCACACCTCACAGCTCACTCCACACGCAGGTGGGCGGCCGCACCACCTCCTTCACAGACAAAAGTGGACTTCAGCTCCCTCGGGTCCCTCCTTTAACCTAAATGTTTCTGCATCTACTCCTGGTCCTCCGCTCCCACCTCTGAGAAAGAGGCTGCTGCCGGAGACCCAGGGCTGACGACTGGCCTGGGCTCAGGGCTCAGCCACCTCTCGCTTGCAAGCCCAATGTCTTCCGTTCTCTTGGTCCTCCCCTCTCCCCAAGAACACCTGCAGTCCTCTCCGGTCTTCAAAAGAGCTCTGACCCTTGAACTCCAGGCTACTACCCATCAGACACCCCCACTTCCTCAGTACCACCCCATCTCACTACCACCCGCTTGGACACACCCTACCTGAGCAGGGGGCTGCTCCCTCCCAAGCCACCAAGACACCGCAGAGGCTAGTGACCTCAGGTTCTCCCACCCCTTGGTTCACCAGTCTCTCTTTCCGGAAACTCAGCTTTCGGCCCCTAATAGTGACTCTGTGGCTCTGTCTCCTCCCTTCCCAGTTAGCCCCACTGGCCTCCTCTGCTGCCTCCTTTCTTCTGCCGACCCCTTCCTTTTGTCCTCTCACCTTTCAGAGCTTCCCCTCAGGCCCTCGCCCTGGAGACCTGGCGCCTGCCTCACTCCCCAGCTTCACCACCGCTCTGCTGAGTCTCACACTCTGTGCTCCAGCAACAGGGAAACCAACCCAAACACAGATGCCCACTGAACTGCTGAAGGCTCACCCACTGCCCACCTGCTGCCCACCTGCTTCCGGCAGCCAGGCTGCGCTCAGGCGGCCCCAGTGCTGCCAGCCTGAGCCACACAGCTCACCAAACCTTCTGATCCCTCACTACCAACGGCTGAGAAATAGTAAGCAAACACCTCTAACATACATATTATTTATTTGTAAATTAAGTACACATTCTAATGTACCGTGTTACATATATTAGAAAACAAATACAATGATCAAAGCGATAAAGATCAAATAGGTTAAAATAATTTTATTCATCAATACAAAAAACTTTCATTCTCATTGGTAATAATAGTTTTAACAAGAGCAATGTGACTGATATGCTTCTCTTTTCTCAGTGTTTTAAATACACTTTTTACAGATGTGCAACATATGTACAGAAAAGTGCACACAATATAAATGCACAGGTCAAAGAATTCGCACAAAGTACATGTAACCAGCACCCGTAAGGAGAGACCAAACATCACCAGCACCCCCAGAAACCCACTGCACCCCCTTCTATCACTACCTGCCCCCCAAAGGTAGCCAGTATTCTGATTCCTAACAGCATAGGCTGGTTCTATTTAAACTTTACATGAATGGGATCACACAGTAAATAAATCTTGTGTCTGACTGAGCACTTGAGCACTATATTTGCAAAATTTGTCCTGGGTTTTTCACTGAATTGTTATTCATTAACTTTTACTGTTATGGTTTTTCCACTGTGGGTGTTTACCACGTGTATTTGTCCATTCAGCTGCTGGTGGGCACTGGGATCTTCCAGTTTGGGCTATTACAGGTGGTGCTGCCTAAACATTCCTAAGCATGACATCTGGTACACACTTACGTGCCCTTCTGTAGGGCTGGTACCTTGGAGTGGAATTGCTAGGTTGTAAGGTAAGTGTACGTTCAGCTTCCATAGATGATACAGTTTTCCAAAGTAGCTAAAGCAATTTACGCTCCCGCCAGCAGGGCAGGGAGTTCTGGCTGCTCCACATCCTCACCAGCTTGATATGGTTTTGGTTTTGGTTTTCATTTTAGCCATCCTTGTGGACAAGATATCACAAAGTAAGTATCACAATTCCTTTTAAAGATGAGGAGAGTGAGAAGCGCCTGGGTGGCTCAGGTGGTTGAGTGTTTGACTCGACTTTGGCTCAGGTCAACATCTCAGGGTTCGTGGGATTGAGCCCCATTGAGCCCCATGTCAGGCTCCACGTGGAGCCTGCTTAAGATCTTCTCTCTCCCTTGGCCCCTCTCCCCCACTCACACACTCTCTCTTTAAAAGATGAGGGGAGTGAAATTAAGTGCCTCTCTCAAACGTAAGGTGAGTCTGAACAGGACCCCAGGTCTTTGGACTTCAGTGTACTGTTTCCACTTGCAGAGAAATTCTGTTTCCAACATAAACACTCTAACGAGAGGCTAAAACACTTAATAAAAGAACATGCTTGGGGGGGCCCGGGTGGCTCAGTCGGTTGGGCGTCTGACTTGGCTCAGGTCATAATCTCGCGGTTCATGGGTTTGAGCTCTGCGTCAGGCTCTGTGCTGACAGATAGCTCAGAGCCTGGAAACTTTTTCAGATTCTGTGTCTACCTCTCTCTCTGCCCCTCCCCAGCTCATGCTCTGTCCTTCTCTGTCTCAAAACTAAATAAGCATTAAATTTTTTTTTTTAAATAAAAAATAAATAAATAAAAGAACATGCTTGGGGACTATGCCCATCCACATAAACATATCATGACAGAAGAAAAGAATAAAATGGTCTATCAGTCCAGCTTGGAGACACAGACAAAGTCTGGACATATGTACACCAAGTATTAACAGTACGATGATGGCTGATAAAATCCTGCCATTTGTAACAACACAGATAGACCTAGAGGGTATTATTATGCTAAGTGAAATAAGTCAGAGAACAATAAATACTATATGATTTTATGTCCAGAATCTTGGAACAAAACAAAACAAATTCTTAAATACAAAGAACAAACTAGTGGTTACCAGAGCAGAGATGGGTGGGGAGATGGGTGAAACAGGAGAAGGGAATTAAGAGGTACAAACTTCTAGTTATAAAATAAATAGGTCAACACAAAAATCAAAAGCATCTATACAGGGGTGCCTGGGTGACTCAGTTGGTTAAGTGTCTGATTCTTTGTTTCAGCTCAGGTCATGATCTCAAGGTTTGTGAGTTCAAGCTCTGCATTAGGCTCTGCACTGATAGCACAGAGCCTGCTTGGGATTCCCTTTCTCCCTCACTCTCTGCCCCTCCCCCACTTGCTCATGCTCTTTCTCTGTCTCTCCCTCAAAATTAAAAAATAGACTTTAAAAAATAAATAAAATTGGGCGCCTGGGTGGCTTAGTCGTTTAAGCGCCCGACTTTCGCTTGGGTCATGATCTCGCGGTTCGTGGGTTCGAGCCCCGCATCGGGCTCTGTGCTGACTGCCAGTTCAGAGCCTGGAGCCTATTTCAGAGTCTGTATCTCCCTCTCTCTCTGACCCTCCCCTGCTCAAACTGTCTCTCTCTCTCTCTCTCTCTCTCTCCTAGAAATAAATTTTAAAAAATAAAATAAAATAAAAAAATAAAAAATAAATAAAATCATTTGTACAGCAAAAGGAAGCCACCAAAAAGGCAATCTAGTGAATGAGAGAAGATATTTGCAAATGACATATCCAATAAGAGGTTAATATGCAAAATATATAATTTATACAACTCAACAGCAAAATCATACCAAATATGATTTTTAAATGGGCAAGGGCTCTGAATATTTTTCTAAAGAAAATATGGAAGTGGCTAACAGACACATGAAAAGATGGTCAACATCACTCATCATCAGGGAAATGCAAATCAAAACCACAATGAGCTATCACCTCACACCAGTCAAAATGGCTAGTGTCAAAAAGACATGAAATAACAAGTGTCAGTGAGGATGTGCAGAAAAAGAAACCTTCGTGCACTGTTGATATGAGTATAAACTGGTGCAACCACTGCGGAAAGCAGAACAGAGGTTCCTCAAATAATTAAAAAGAGAACCACCCTATGATCCATTAATTCCAATGCTGGGTAACTACCCAAAGAAAACAAAAACACTAATTGGAAAAGATATATGCACCCGTGTGTTTACTGCAGCATTATTTACAATAGTCAAGATATGGAAGCAGCCCAAGTGTCCACTGATAGATGAGTGAATAAAGATATGGTATACATATATACACAATGGAATATTATTCATCCATAAAAAAGAATGGGATCTTACTATCTGTGACTACATGGATGGATCAAGAGGGTACTATGCTAAGTTAAATTAGACAGAGAAAGACAAATACCATATGATTTCACTTACATGGAGAGCCTAAAAAATAAAACAAAAAGTCAGATTCAGATGCAGAAAACTGGTGGTTGCCAGAGGGGAAGTGGGTGTGTGATAAGCGAAAGAGGATTAAGAGGTACAAAGTATTATACCAGTATTAAGTCACGGAGATGAAAAGTACAGATAGGGGGCGCCTGGGTGGCTCAGTCGGTTGAGTGTCTGACTTTGGCTCAGGTCATGATCTCACAGTTCATGGATTCGAGCCCTGAGTGGGGCTCTGTGCTGACAGCTAGCCCCAAGCTGGGAGCCTGCTTTAGATTCTTTGTCTCCCTTTCTCTCTG